GAACTTGGAGGGCGGGAAGTCATACCAGGAAGTGAAGAGGAAGGAGCTGCAGCTTGCTCTGGGTTCAAAACAATTTTATTTGCATAAATTTAGATGAAAGACAGAGTTCAGTGCTTACACCTACAGCTGGCCTGGCAGCCACCTGGGAATGGAAGCTAAAGACCCCTGACCTAATGGACTTTGTTCAGTGATTCCTAAGGCAGGCCGGTGGGGTGTGGGGGGTGTGGGGGTGGCCCTAGCAAGGAGAAAGGGGCTGCAAGGAGCTGTAAAGCACAAAGACTGTTTATGGTCTGATGGGAGAGTCAGGTTTTTGCAAAGAGGGAGAAAAGGGAAGAAAATGGAAGGCCTCTTGGGCGAGCCTGGGAAGCCTGTGCAGGCTGCAGGGAAGTCAAAACTGGTCTGGTTTAAAATCCTACTTCTCTGGGGGTACAGGCCAAGAAGTGCAGTATGGGAGTTTGGTTCTTAGTGCTTCAAGGGTTGCCTGTATTGTTTTCCGAAAAGGGTTCTGGAGCGTGTCATTGATCTTTTTCAAATGTGGGAATGAAATATGGGATATTAAACATCGTAGGAGAATAACAAATGCCCCAAAGCAATAGAAACTGAAAACTGCTCTGCAGCAGGAAGTTTAGCACAGGGGAGCTCAGCAGGAGGAGGGAACCCCAGGGAAGCGGTGGAGGAAGTAAGCACTGGGGAAGCATGTGGTGAGGGACTGTGTTACACATGAAGCCCTGTCATTAACAGTATAGTAAACCAAGAAGACAAGATAAAGCTTAAAGAAAAAATCACCCCCACTCTTTTTTTTTTTTTAAGGGGAAGCACATCCGCTGGTGCTCAGGGTTGACTCTGGGATCACCCCCAGCAGGACTCAGAGTACCTGTAGTTGGTCCCAGGGATTGAAGCCTGGTGTGCCACTTTCTTTCATTTTTTTTTTAAACATCGTATTTATTTATCTATTTTGCTTTTTGGGTCACACCTGGTGATGCACAGGGATTGATCCTGGCTCTGCACTCAAGAATTATTCCTGATGGCGCTTAGGGAACCATATGGGATGCTGAGGATCGAACCCAGGTCGGCCACGTGCAAGGCAAATGCCCTATTCTCTGTACTATCACTCCAGCCCCTGGTCTGCCACTTTCAAGTGACATACCCTACCTGCTATGCTACACCTCTAGCCCCCTAAAATCCCACTTTAGCACAGAGAGGGCACAGGGATTAAGGCATTTTCTTACACTTGGCTGATGCTCTTTGACCTATTTCCTGGTTTCCTACATTTTTTTTTTTTAATTTGTGGGACCACTCAAGTACAGTTTTTTTTTTTTTGTTTGGTGCCAGGAATTGAACCTCAGGCCCTCACACATGCAAAACAAGTGCTCTACCTCTGAGCTACACCCCCAGCTCTTAAGCTCTATTCTTTATAAGTAAGTAAGTAAGTAAAGGCCCTCCCGTTGATCATCGATTTGCTCGAGCGGGCCTAGTAACATCTCCATTGGAGACTTTGTTGTTACTGTGTTTGGCATATCGAGACACTCTCGGTAGCTTGCTGGGCTCTCCGAGAGGGGCAGAGGAATCGAACTTGGGTCGGCCATGTTGGCTGCGTGCAAGGCAAAAGCCCTACTGCTGTGCTATCGCTCCAGCCCCTATTCTTTATAGAACATTTTAATTCTACAATGTAGTATTGTTAACTATGGTCACTGTATTATACATTAGATCCTTTGTCTTTTGATGATGGAATTGTGAAAGTTTTTTTTATAGAAAAGATACAAGTCTTATTATGTATGTAGTTTACAGATACTTTCGTTCTGTGATGCTTGGGTCTGGAGTTCTGCCTCTCAAGGCTTCCAGGACTCCTCATATGAGTTCTATATTTCAAAGCTCTTCTTGGCTTGGCTTGGAGATGGTGTCTTTTCCCAATCCTCATTGCCTGGGTTCCCTCCCTGTGACCTGTATGTGGTCCTAGAGCAGTAGTGGAAATGGGGCTAAACTGCACAGCAGACAGACTACATGCTTTGATGCCTGGAAGTTTGGGATTGACCCCTGGTACCTTATGGTCTCCATCCCACTGCCTATAGTGACCTAGAAACTCAGAGCTGGAAGCTCTGAGCACCACTGGCTATAGCTTCTACCCCCCCCCCCCCCCCAAAAAAAAGTGAAGAAAATATGTTGTGCCTGGAGACATAGTACAGTGAGAAGGGCACCTGCTTTGTGCACAGCTGACCTGGGCTTGATCCCTGGCACCCCATGGGGTCCCCTGAGCACCACTAGAAGGAATTCCTGAGCACAGAGCCAGGAGTAAACCCTGAGAACTGCTGGCTGTGGCCTCCAAACCAACAAATGTGCGACTGGGAAAATTTAATCCGTATGAAAGCATATAGCGTGAAACAGAAATCTTCTCAGCCATCCCCTTTCAACTCTACTGTCTAGACTTGAAATATTAAGCATTGTCCACAGGGTTCTCTGTGATGATTTGGATCCGGTTGGAACACTTCCTTTTGCAGCCTGCATAGTCTGACTTGGGGTGTAGCATATCAGGGGACTGACATTCTGTTAGAATTACAGGTTGCCTCTGCCTGGGTGGGTAAAGGTCAATGCCTTTGTGAGCCTTAAGACCCTAGCTTTGGGGCTGGAGTGATAGTACAGCAGGTAGGGCATTTGTCTTGCACGTGGCCAACCCGGGTTTGATTCCCAGCATCCCATATGGTCCCATGAGCACCGCCAGGAATAATTCCTGAGTGCAGAGCCAGGAGTAACCCCTGTGCATCTCCAGGTGTGACCCCAAAAGCAAAAAAAAAAAAAAAGACCTCAGCTTTGACCCTTTGTTCTTGTGATGTAGCATGTGGATGGCCTTGGCACTGCAGAGAACTGGGCAGGGGAGCTGAGTTGAACTGGACTGGAGCTAGCCTGGCTGCATGTCTTGGACTGAATTGCTCTGACCTTCTCTGTTCTTCCCTGCAAATAACCCCACATCTCTCTCTCTCTCTCAGGGATGGCTGTGAAGGTTTACTATGCCAGGAAGCACAGATAGCTCTGTTTCAGAAATTGAATCAATTGGGGGAGACAGATTATATAAATACTATGATGACGTGGGGGAGCCGTACCACATGTGGCCAAGGTGGGCAGGGAGAGCCAGGAGGTGTGTGAGAAACACACCCACTGGACCGGAAATTAAATAATGGACACGGAAGCATGCGGCATAGTGAAAGCCAGGCTTTTTATCGATGTTCTGGAAAGATTGGGGGTCCAGGAGACAGGTCACTGCAATAGATCACCACAAGCATTTTATTTCTTAGTATACAGATGCCTCCTCTGGTTCCTCATTGGCTGAACATTGGTGTGTAGTGTCTTATGGGCCGTCATCAAAGTTTTCTTGGATAATTTGCCTGTGTGCACCCCTGGGGATTGGTTGGGTTTGGGAAAGTGGGTCTCCATCCCTGTTTGTTCTCCTGCTGCGGGGGAAGGCTCCCTGGGGTGTGTGCTCTTAAGCACAGGGGTACTCTCTACTTTGATCTCCTTCTAAAACCCTACTTGTCAGTTGGTGAGTCATTTTGCAGGCAGGCTGCCAGCAATTTTCCACTTAGGGTTCATTGCTTTGTCTTGAAAATGGGCTACCGCTGGCCTTCTGGCCTTATTTGGTGTTGGTGTGGGGGGGGGGCGGGCGTTGGCTGAGAAGAACCTTGGAAGAGCCATGGGAGTTGGAGCGGGAACTGGCAGGGGTGAGGCACGGAGGCAAAGAATAAAGGCTGGACCCCTTGGGGAGATGCTTTCCAGGAACTGAGAGGAGAGACATTTGTGTAAATGAAAGCCCCCCCCCCACCCACACACACCCCCACCCCCACCCCACCATGGGAATAGGAAAGAAGACTCCCAGAAGTTCAGAGCTCTTCTCCTTTAAACCCTGGCTACCGCTCTTATCTGCACAGAGAACCCCAGCTTGGGAATGTAGAGAAAAGCCCTTCCCCAAAGCCCCTCTCCCCTCACAGAGAGGCCCATGTTCTCCCTTGAACATCTATCTATTTCCCTCCCTCCCTCCCTCCCTCCCTCCCTCCCTCCCTCCCTCCCTCCCTCCCTCCCTCCCTCCATCTCTCGTCTTTCTGTCTTTCTTTTCTTTCTCCTTTCTTCCTTCCTACTTTCCTTCCTTCCTCTTTCTCTCCTCTCTTTTCTCTCTCCTTCCTTCCTTCCTTCCTTCCTTCCTTCCTTCCTTCCTTCCTTCCTTCCTTCCTTCCTTCCTTCCTTCCTTCCTTCCTTCCCGTCCCTCCTTCCCGTCCCTCCCTCCCTCCCTCCCTCCCTCCCTCCCTCCCTCCCTCCCTCCCTTCTTTCTACCTTCCTTCCTATCTTTCTATGTTTCCCTCCCTCCCTCCTTCCTTCCCTGCATCGTTCTCTAGCATGGCACTGTTTGTGGGTGATAGTAAGTGGAGAGTGCCCAGGCTGCTCAGGCCAGCACTGTCATTTCTTTTTCTCTGGGGCTAACCCCAGGCAACCAATGGGATTCCTGGGGTCCACTGAACAGGTGGCGCACAAGGCCCCTTGAGGTTGGCACACACGGGCAGTCTGGCTGGCTGCCTGATGGGAGGGTAGGATTCATGATGCTGGACTTGCCCACCTCCACTGAATTCCACCCCCTGTCCCCAACCTCCATGACTGCATCTCCCAAGTGGTCTCTAGAGGGAGGGAGGGAGGGAGGGAGGGAGGAAGGGGGTGGGGACCTGCTCTTGGTGCCTCCTGCCCCCTTTCTTCCTCACTGCCAGTGGCCAGTCCCCTCTGTCCTCCACGGTCTCCCCCTCCAGCTCCTGACTCAGCCTGGCTCTGCCGGCTTCTGGGGGAAGGGTCTGTCGCCAGGCACAGTTATGGGCTGGCCAGGCCCTGGCTGAGTCCTGGGGTGGCTACGTGTGTGGCGGGAGTGGGGGGGGAGGAGGGCGTTGCCTGCTGGGGGTGTGGGTGGACAGGCCACAGCTGTGCCAGTTTGGAGATTCCAAGTCATCTAGCATGGTCCTCTTATCTTTCAGATTCATCCTGTCCTGGGTTGAAGATGTTTCCAGAAGAAGAGAAAGAGGTATGTCCTCCCAGAGTGGAAAATATACCAGTACTGGCACCCTCGTGCTTGAATGTTTTGGTTGGTTTCTGTGCATTGGTCTTTCTGTCCATTTGCCCACCCCCTCGGTGGAACTGGTTATGCCTAGGGTTTGGGTTAGGGTTCCCTGTTCGGTGGGTCATCCTGAAGGAGGGCTGCGGGGAGACCGAGACTCCCCCAGCCCTCGGACAGGGCCGCCTCCTGAGCCTTCAGAGCTGGGCTCTGGCTCACTTCTGCTGCCAACCACAGCGTGTCAGAGTTTCTCTTCCTGATCCGTGGCCCCACCACACTCTGTCTTCACCCTGTTTCTCCCTTCTCGGTTTTCTATTTCCTCCCGTCCTCCTTGAATTCTCTCACTTCTGTTGGGCATCCAGGGAGGGCCCGAGAGATAGTTCAGGGGTCAAGGCTTTTGCCTGGCGTGCATTCAGCCTTGGCTCAATCCGTTGCACCACCAGGACTGATTCACAAGTTTGGAGCCTAGAGGAGCCCATGAGTACCCCGGGGTGTGGCCCATGCCCTTGCCAACTGCACCCCCCCCCCCAAATAAAAATCCAGAGAAACTGTCATCACTTTCCTTATTGTGCTGCATGTCACCTGTTTTGAGTTTTTTTATTTTATTTTTTTTTGGTGGGGGGGGAGTCATACCTGGTGATACTTAGGGGTACTCCCAACTCTGTACTCAGGGATCACTCCCGGCGGTGCTCAGGGGGCCATATGGGATGCCAGGGATTGAACCCAGGTGGGCCATATGCAAGACAAGCTGTGCTCTCTCTCTGGGCCCTGCGTGGTCTCTTTGCTGTTGGTTTTCACAGTGCCAGGGATTGAACCTAGGACCTCACACAGGCAAGGCAGATTCTCTACCGCTGAGCAATGTTCACAGTTCTGTTCGTCTTTGGGAATTCTGGGCTTGGTTTTACACAGTGTGTGCAAGGCTGGCCTTCCTGAGCCTTACTTGAATTTGCTTCTCCACCATTCTCCAACCTTTTCTCGCCCACTGTTTTCCACTGTTTGCCAAGCTTGTTTCCAGCCTGCAACCCTCTGCCTGGCCCATTCACCCGCTAGTCTTATGCTTTGGCCCCCATTTGCGTGGCTTTTACCTGTGAGCCCTTGGAATATCCTGGGCCCTGCTGAAGATTGCGACTGGGGACAGTCTTCTGTTCACTCAGTTCCCTCAACCCAGTCGTGGGGTTCTGGTTCTCCCCTGCACTTTCAGGACTGGGGAAAGACAGTGTTCTGGTTTGTTTTTATTATTTTATTATTGTTTTATTATTATTATTATTATTTATTATTATTATTATTTTATAATTTGCTCGAGCGGGCCCAGTAACGTCTCCATTGGAGACTTTGTTGTTACTGTGTCTGGCATATCGAATACTCTCGGTAGCTTGCCGGGCTCTCCGAGAGGGGCGGAGGAATCGAACTCGGGTCGGCCATGTTGGCTGCGTGCAAGGCAGACGCCCTACCCGCTTACCCTTTATATAAATGCTGTGGCTTACAAAGTTGTTCATGATGATTTGTTTCAGGCATTCAGTATTCCAACACCAATCCCACCACCGTCACACCATCCCTCCAAGTTCTGGGTTTTTTTTTTTTTTTGGTCATACTCAGCAATGCACAGGCTCTGCACAATGCACACACCTGGCTCTGCACTCAGGAATTACTCCTGGTGGTCCTCCGGGGACTATATGGGATGCTGGGAATTGAATCGGCCACACCTGGCTGTGCTATCACTCCAGCTTCTCTGGTTTGGTTTTAAGGGTTTTATTTTCCCCCTTAAGGGGTGGTGGTTTGGGTATGCCCCAGAGGCAATCAGGGGCTATTACTGGTTCTGTGCTCAGGGGGTGACCCCTGGTGATGTTCAGGGGACCATTTATGATAGTGGGGATTATATCAGGTCAGCTGCCCTTGAGGCCTGTACTTGTACTATCTCTCCAGCCCTTAAACTAGACTCATTCTTTTTTTTTCCTTTTCCCTTTTTCTGTTTGTTTTTTGAGTGACATCTAGCGGTACTCAGCTCTTACTCCTATCTCTGGGCTCCGAGATCACTGTTGGGGGGAGGGGAATGGAGGGAACATAAGCCATAGTGGGGCTTGACGGCTTGCAAGGCTGATGCCTTAGCATCTGTATCTCACTTGCCCACAAACTAGTGTTTTATTGATTTGTAAGGTGTATAGTGAAGTGAGTACAGTACTTAATCTCAGGTGACCAGCCCAGTGTGTTTTCACTAATATCTCTCCTGTAGAAATAAGAATTGATTTTTTTTTTTGCTTTTTTGGGTCACACCCAGCAATGCACAGGGGTTACTCCTGGCTCTGCACTCAGGAATTACTCCTGGTGGTGCTCAGGGGACCATATGGGATGCTGGGACTCAAACCTGGTTTGGCTGTGTGCAAGGCAAATGCCCTACCTGCTGTGCTATCGCTCCGGCCCCAAGAATAGATGTCTTTAACACCCCTTAAAGACCCTGTGTCCCCATGTCTCTCCTTGGCAGTCTCTTGTTCCCCTTTGTCCCAAGGGTAGCCCTGTACCGTTCCACGATCAGGTTGACCGCTCTGTGTGTCACACTTCTGGGATCCAGCTCATTCTCCAGGAAGTCCATGCTTGGGGACATCGGTCAGACTGTGAGCTCTTCCTTGACCACGTTTCCTTTTTTTAATAATTTATAAATTTAAATTTAATTGTTATAAAGTTGTTCATAATAGTTCATTACATTTAACACCAGTCCCACCGTTGTGCACCTTCTCACCACCATAAGAGGAAAGTGTGTGAAGGTTATTGTATTTCAGCCTGGAGCCATTTAAGCCCTTGTATAAGAGATTACAAGCATGTATGTTAAGCCCAAACAAATGTATGCTACTTTTGGTCCATGGCTGGGCTAGAATATAAGAGGTCCAAGACATTCTATGGCATTCTCTTCTGAAAGCTTAATTTCAGGATCTCTGCATCTTGGCCATTGATGACATTATATGGTACTGGGGCAGTTTGTTGAGTGTGTCTGCCAAGCTACTGGAAAACTGGGGAGCTGGAGGGAGGAGGCCCAGTCCTACTTCGAGCGAGGTTGGAGGTCTCTCAGTCATGGGTCCTGCATGCCTGTTTTTTTCTGCGGGTTTCCTCATAGGTGAGGCTCATTGGAGACTGTACAGAGTGACCTGGATGGCTGCGGTTGGGTTCTGGAGGTTTTTGGCTGCCGGGGTTCTGCTTAGGGTGAGAAGGGAAACTCAACCCGCCCCGCTCCAAGTTGCCCCAGTGAAGACAGCGTAGTGCAGGATCAGGATGTTCTATGGTGCTCTCTTCTGGACCACCCTTCCCTTTGACAACACCTGTGGGTTTGGGGTTCTCCCAACCAGCTTCAGTTGTTTGGGAGGGGGCCTCCCCAGCAGGTACCACTCCTGGTGATACCTGGTGGTTCCTTTTTTTTTTTTTTTTTTGCTTTTTTGGGTTATACCTGGCAATGCACAGGGGGTTTCTCCTGACTCATGCACTCCTGGTGTGCTTGGAGGACCATATGGGATGCTAGGAATTGAACCCTAGTCGGCCACATGCAAAGCGAACACCCTCTCTGCTGTGCTATCACTCCAGCCCCACCTAGTGGTTCTGAGCCTGGTGGTCAGGTGCGTAGCCTGGCGAAGCCCTGGCATGAGCTTGGGACCTCGCGCATGCCAAACAGTGCTCCCACTCTCAGCTCCCTTCCCCAGCCCCGTGATGCTCAGCTTTGATAATGCACGAGAAAGGTTTACAGCATCGCTGAGAATGCCTTTGTTCACCATTAAGGTTTATTCCCCAGAAAGAAATAGCACCAGTAGCACGAAGGGAAAGACATGGTGACAGACCTGGGAGGGTCCAGGCGGAGCTGCTGGCCATCTTCTCCTAGTGGAGCTTGCCTCGCAGTGTTTGCTGTTGTGACACATCACACAGGGCCATGCTGGAGACCTTGTCTGCTTTTTACCTTTTGTTCGGGTTCAGTCACATGCCGCGCTCCCCCCTCCACACCACCCCCCCTCCGTCCCCATGGACCTTTCACCTCTACCACTGAAGGTGGAACTCCTCCCTTATCTCCAGATCCCCGCAAGGTCTGGGCTGTGCTAACCCAGTGCAATCCTAGTCCCCAGGAAGTAAACTCAGTTAGATTCTCCAGAGGCCAAAGCCCAGAAAACTAGGACGCGCCATCATGCAGGGCATTCTCAGGGGCCTAGGAGGTGTCTCCCAAGGATTCAGGCCTCCTCTTGGGTAAGGTGATTGTGGCTTTTGTGTGTTTTCAGGGAGGTTACACCCGGTGGTGCTCGAGGGTGACCCCTAGTGGTGTTCAGGCGCTCATGCAGTGCTTGAATCCTGGGCTTCTGCAAGGCATGTGCTTTGAGCCATCTCCCTTGGCAATGTTGATTGGGAGGACTATTGGTGTTTTTTTTGAGTGAAGTAACTCATTACTACACTCCTGTGTGAGTCTGATTACTGGGCGAGTGCTGTTGGGCCTGGGGCTGGACAGCACACTATTGGACTATTCCAAAAGCACACTTTTTCTTTTTTCCTCATTTCTGGGGCTTACTCCTTCTTGTCTCTGTGCTCAGGGACGACTCCTGGTGGGACCATACATGATGCAGGGGGATCAAAACCAAGTTGGCTATGTACAAGGCAAGTGCCTTACCTCTTGTACTATCTCTCTGGTCTCCTCAAAGACACATTTTAAAAGGTGTTCTTGGGCTAGAGAGATTGTATAGGTAGTATTGTATTGCTTTGCACAGGGCCCAGCCCAGCAGAAAGTCCCCTGAGCACCACCAGGAGTGACCACAATGAGCACAGAGCCCAGGAGTCCACTAGGTATGGCCCACCTAAATAAATAAATTCTGGGGCCAGAGCAATAGTACAGCAGGTAGGACATTTGCCTTGTATGAGTCCGACTTGGGTTCAATCCGTAGCATCCAGTATGTCCCCCAAGCACCGCCAGGAGTGATTCCTAGTGCAGAGCCAGGAGGAACCTCTGAGCA